CTCTCGCCCGCCAGGAACGGCTCAGCACATCACGGCCAAATACGTGGGTATTACTCCATCGATTAAAGTTGTCTAGAAGTCAGTACTCGTTACAGATACAAGCTGTTCAGATTGGTCAGACTTTGTATTTAAGAAATGCGCGACGATCGGGGTTGTTTATCGTACAATAAAACACTGTAGGGTGAATGAACCATAAGGGTCACAGCATGAGGGGTCTTATACGAACCCATTCAAGTCAGCTGGTTTGGCAGTACAGACCTCATGACGTCATAATGTTTGATGCGACGTCATTTGCTTGTCACGGAACAATTGGCGTGACGTCACAAGACCTCTTTCACAAAATAACAAAGATTTATGGTTGTAACTTGGTTTCCCTGGTGAGATTTTGGTGTATTTGGAATAATGCGGGAAGTGCATATCTTGGCGTATAAGTGCATACAATTGTGGCTATGAAGAGTTGTCGCCCCTGTTTATTAGCTTACCCTTCTTCTTTAACATTAATATACACAACATTTTGGAAATTTCCAGATGACTTCATACAATGGGTACGGCCAATGCCTGCCACCTACAGCTTCGATGTTCTTCCCTCACATAACCACCGCGTCGAGGGTCTGGTCATCAAGTACAGTGGGACTTACTTCATCTACTCACAAGTCGCCTTGAACGGAAAAACTATTGAGTACGTACATTCACATTCAGTATAGAGCATTGGTCACTCCTGGGATCCCCCGTGTAGAGCATCGGTCACTCCTGGGATCCCCTGTGTAGAGCATCGGTCACTCCTGGGATTCCCCGTGTAGAGCATTGGTCACTCCTGGGATCCCCTGTGTAGAGCATCGGTCACTCCTGGGATCCCCTGTGTAGAGTATCGGTCACTCCTGGGATCCCCTGTGTAGAGCATCGGTCACTGGGGATTCCCTGTGTAGAGCATCGGTCACTCCTGGGACCCCTGTGTAGAGTATCGGTCACTCCTGGTATCCCCTGTGTAGAGTATCGGTCACTCCTGGGATCCCCTGTGTAGAGTATCGGTCACTCCTGGGATCCCCTGTGTAGAGCATCGGTCACTCCTGGGATCCCCTGTGTAGAGTATCGGTCACTCCTGGGATTCCCCTGTGTAGAGCATCGGTAACTCCTGGGATCCCCTGTGTAGAGTATCGGTCACTCCTGGGATCCCCTGTGTAGAGCATCGGTCACTCCTGGGATCCCCTGTGTAGAGTATCGGTCACTCCTGGGATCCCCTGTGTAGAGCATCGGTCACTCCTGGGATCCCCTGTGTAGAGTATCGGTCACTCCTGGGATCCCCTGTGTAGAGCATCGGTCACTCCTGGGGTCCCCTGTGTAGAGTATCGGTCACTCCTGGGATCCCCTGTGTAGAGCATCGGTCACTCCTGGGATCCCCTGTGTAGAGTATCGGTCACTCCTGGGATCCCCTGTGTAGAGAATCGGTCACTCCTTGGATCCCCTGTGTAGAGTATTGGTCACTCCTGATATCCCCTGTGTAGAGTATCGGTCACTCCTGGGATTCCCTGTGTAGGGCATCGGTCACTCCTGGGATTCCCTGTGCAGATGATCTGTCACTGGTGATTCCCCGTGTAGATCATATGTCACTGGGGATTCCCTGTGTAGATCATCTGTCCCACTGTGGATTCTCCGTGTAGATAATCTGTCCCGATGGGGATTCCCTGTGTAGATAGTCTGTCACTGGGGATTCCCTGTGTACATCATCTGTCACTGGGGATTCCTTGTGTAGATCATATGTCACTGGGGATTCCCTGTGTAGATCATCTGTTACTGGGGATTCCCTGTGTACATCATCTGTCACTGGGGATTCCTTGTGTAGATCATATGTCACTGGGGATTCCCTGTGTAGAGCATCTGTCACTCTTGGGATTTCCTGTGTAGATCATCTGTCACTGGGGATTCCTTGTGTAGATCATCTGTCACTGGGGATTCCCTGTGTAGATCATCTGTAACTGGGGATTCCCTGTGTAGATCATCTGTCACTGGGGATTCCCCGTGTAGTTCATCTGTCACTGGGGATTCCTTGTGTAGTTCATCTGTCACTGGGGATTCCCTGTGTAGATCATCTGTAACTGGGGATTCCCTGTGTAGATCATCTGTCACTGAGGATTCCTTGTGTAGATCATCTGTAACTGGGGATTCCTTGTGTAGATCATCTGTCACTGGGGATTTTCCGTGTAGATCATCTGTCATTGGGGATTCCCCGTGTAGATCATCTGTCACTGGGGATTTCCCGTGTAGATCATCTGTCACTGGGGATTCCCTGTGTAGATCATCTGTCACACTGGGGATTCCCTGTGTAGATCATCCGTCAATGGGGATTCCCTGTGTAGATCATCTGTCACACTGGGGATTCCCTGTGTAGATCATCTGTCACTGGAGATTCCCCGTCTAGATCATCTGTCACTTGGGATTCCCCGTGTAGATGATCTGTCACACTGGGGATTCCCTGTGTAGATCATCTGTCACACTGGGGATTCCCTGTGTAGATCATCCGTCAATGGGGATTCCCTGAGTAGATCATCTGTCACACTGGGGATTCCCTGTGTAGATCATCCGTCAATGGGGATTCCATGTGTAGATCATCTGTCACTGGGGATTCCATGTGTAGATCATCTGTCACTTGGCATTCCCTGTGTAGATCATCTGTCACTGGGGATTCCTTGTGTAGATCATCTGTCACTTGGGATTCCCTGTGTAGATCATCTGTCACACTGGAGATTCCCTGTGTAGATCATCTGTTAGTTGCGATTCCCTGTGTAGATCATCTGTCACTTGGGATTCCCTGTGTAGATCATCTGTCACTTGGGATTCCCTGTGTAGATCATCTGTCACTTGGGATTCCCTGTGTAGATCATCTGTCACTTGGGATTCCCTGTGTAGAAAATCTGTCACTTGGGATTCCCTGTGTAGAAAATCTGTCACTTGGGATTCCCTGTGTAGAAAATCTGTCACTGTGGATTTCCTGTGTAGAAAATCTGTCACTTGGGATTCCCTGTGTAGAAAATCTGTCACTGGGGATTCCCTGTGTAGAAAATCTGTCACTGGTGATTCCCTGTGTAGAGTATATACACGAGTTACCGAACACGACCATCAGAGAAGTTCCGTTCCCCTCACAATCGCCAACAGAGACCTGGTGAAATGTTTAAATCCGGATCCCGCATTGGGATCATTATGGTCATAAGGATCAACTCTTCATGTAGTATTTTTGTGTGTCTAAATATAAATACTGTCTATAATTCCGCTGTGACTTTGTATTCTGAACAAATGAAAATGATAATAATTTACTGTTAGGAACACGGCGTTACCAGAATGCGGACATGAGATCATCAGAGAACGGCCAAATGAAGACCCTCGATTCCTCCTGCTGGTGAGAAGTGTCGCCACACAGGACCGAGAGTAAGTACCGCCTGACACGCCATCAGCCACGTCACGTGACTACCGGACCACCATCCACCTACTTGCTTCCTATTCCAAATCAAATTACTGGCGTTTACATTATCTAATTCGGATAATGTTCGAGGAATGTCCTGGCTAAATACTTAGCAGTGAGTGTTTACAATTAATCAACTACAAAGGGGAAAGGAGCTGCAGAGCCTAACTAATCTTGTGAGGTTAGACAACGCGTTTGATTGGCCCTGGGTTCTCACACCATTCACAAGAGATCTGTCCGACTCGTGTGTATGATGTGTAACATTAATCTGAATGATAGGCGACACAAACAGCACGTCTGTTGAAGTGCACTAGAAACAATTCTTCCATTCAGAACAATGCATATTTTAAATAAACTTTCCCACAGTCAAAAAATATTTATTTTATAGACAAACGTTAAGTCTGAACAATATATACTAGTACACACTTTTATCTTATAAAACATTTTAGCTGCAGTTCGATTGTCGTTGTTGTTGTTGTTGTTGTTGTCTTTTCTTTAAGCACCATATCTAGAAACCACATACTTAGCACCATATCACTTGCAAAGTCTATTAATGAGTACTGCCCGACAAAAAATATATAACTAGACAATTATTATTAAAATGACAAGATGGTGGAAACACGAATACCTTCATACCCCTGAAACACGTGTGTGGTGTCACCCTTGGCAAGTGACGTTCCCACAGCAGGGAATGGGTACCCGATATGTGAGGTAGATGTTAAAACCATCTGGCGCCCGTAGGCTGTGGGAGCCTGCACGGGTCCCATTGGTTGTTTACCCCCCCCCCCCCCCCCCCCCCCCCCCCCAAGGGAGTTAAGAATGATAGCTGGGATGCAAACAGAACCACTGGTCTAGTACCTGGATAGCTGCGGCATATACACGTAAAACAACAACAACAACAATAACAATAAAATTCATACTGCTACTACTACTACTACTACTACTACTACTACTACTACTACTACTACTAATAATAATAATCATAATAAAACATAATATATTTCGATAAAATACAAATTTGAAAATCCCATGAGCAGTTTGCCTTCTTGTATTCACTCTCAGGGGCAGCTTCTACCCCCGGAGCAACGTGGAGGGGGGTCGTGTCTACCCCTTGGACACCCAGCTGCAGGCGGGACTATTCGGGCTGGTGCGAGGCGACATACTCAGGGTTCGAGTCTCCAACTACTGTAAGCGGTATTCACGTGTCCGGATGAACGAAGAGTTCACTTACTTCGGTGCCTTCATGGTCAACGATTCGCCAATGTGAGGAGGGGGATGTCACGTGACCAGACAATCCACGAGACAATCACTGCACTGTGGGGAGCTTGCACGGGTCGCATTGGGAGAACGTCATTGAATGACCTTTGTGACAAGGTTTGAATACTGAAACCAAGTTTCTCGGCGCCTTGCCTCGAACTTACTCCTAGCCTTTGAAGTCGTGCATTAACAGAAACGATGTGTTGACAAGGTTTTGTGTGCATTAAGTCGTGTATAATAGATAACACTGTGTTCTCTGCGTTATTTCCTGCATCTAAAGTCGTGTATCAACGTAAAGAAATGTGTCAAATTACTTTCTGTCGTGTGAAAAGACATTTTTAATTGTGTTATTCGCGAGGACAACTGTATAAAATTAAATTAAAAAAAATACCAAACCATTATTCAATTGGCAAAATCCATTACCTCGAATTTGATAGTGGTCTCCCACTTTGTAGGAAATCCACCTCTATTGTAGCATCATTTTGGAGGGAATTCTCCTCTATTGTATTATCACACCCATGGAAAATCCATTCTCCCGAATTATATAGTGGTCTGCCTCTGTCTTCTGATCTGACTGGTTCTGTATTCGCCACGACGAATGTGTCATTCCCCTCTACTGTAGCATCACCCCGTGGGAATTCCCCTCTATTGCAGCATCACCTCGTGGGGATTCCCCTCTATTGCAGCATCACCCCTTGTTCATTTCCCTCTATTGCAGCATCACCCCTTGTTCATTCCCCTCTATTGTAGCATAACCCCTTGGGAATTCCCCTCTATTGTAGCATCACCCCTTGTTCATTCCCCTCTATTGTAGCATCACCCCTTGGGAATTCCCCTCTATTGTAGCATCACCCCTTGTTCATTCCCCTCTATTGCAGCATCACCCCTTGGGAATTCCCCTCTATTGTAGCATCACCCCTTGTTCATTCCCCTCTATTGTAGCATCACCCCTTGTTCATTCCCCTCTATTGTAGCATCACCCCTTGGGAATTCCCCTCTATTGTAGCATCACCCCTTGTTCATTCCCCTCGATTGTAGCATCACCCCTTGGGAATTCCCCTCTATTGTAGCATCACCCCTTGTTCATTCCCCTCTATTGTAGCATCACCCCTTGGGAATTCCCCTCTATTGCAGCATCACCCCTTGTTCATTCCCCTCTATTGTAGCATCACCCCATGGGAATTCCCCTCTATTGTAGCATCACCCCTTGGGAATTCCCCTCTATTGTAGCATCACCCCTTGGGAATTCCCCTCTATTGTAGCATCACCCCTTGGGAATTCTCCTCTATTGTAGCATCACCCCTTGGGAATTCCCCTCTATTGTAGCATCACCCCATGGGAATTCCCCTCTATTGTAGCATCACCCCTTGGGAATTCCCCTCTATTGTAGCATCACCCCTTGGGAATTCCCCTCTATTGTAGCATCACCCCTTGGGAATTCTCCTCTATTGTAGCATCACCCCTTGGGAATTCCCCTCTATTGTAGCATCACCCCTTGGGAATTCCCCTCTTTTGTAGCATCACCCCTTGGGAATTCCCCTCTATTGTACCATCACCTCGTGGGAATTCCCCTCTATTGTAGCATCACCTCGTGGGAATTCCCCTCTATTGTACAATCATATCGTGGGAATTCCCCTCTATTGCAGCATCACCCCGTGTGGATTCCTCTCTATTGTACTATCACCTCGTGGGAGTACCCTCTCATGTACCATCACCTCGTTGGAGTACCCTCTATTGTACCATCACCCCGTGGGAATTGCCCTCTATTGTACCATCACCCCGTGGGAATTGTCGTCTATTGTACCATCATCTCGTGGGAATTGCCCTCTATTGTACCATCATCTCGTTGGAATTCCCCTCTATTGTACCATCATCTCGTGAGAATTCTCCTTTATTGTACCATCATCTCGTGGGAATTCCCCTCTATTGTACAATCATATCGTGGGAATTCCCCACTTTTGTATCATCACCCCATGGGAATTCCCCTCTTTTGTGACATCAGCCCGTGGGAATTCCCCTCAATTGTTCCATCACCCCTTGGGGATTTCCCTCTATTGCACCATCACTTTGTAGGTAATTCCCCTCTATTGCACCATCACCTCGTGGGAATTCCCCTCTATTGTTCCATCACCTCTTGGGGATTCCCCTCTATTGCACCATCACTTTGTAGGTAATTCCTCTCTATGTACCACAACCCCTTGGGGATTCTAAATATGAAGTGAATTGTACTTTAATTACTTGATCATGACTTAAGCTGAGAGAAGCTCTTGTTTTCCTCCCGTCCTTCTGTCCAAATATTAACTTGCTGTGGAGTTATACATTCCGTTTATTTTCTGTCAGGGGGAAATATATTGTCCCAGATTGTCGTGTTTATATGTATGTTGTTATGGGCCTAATGGACTTGCCATGTCGGTTGTTTATTCACTTGTTGTTTTTGAATGTTTAATATTACACTGTACATCAATGTAAGCCATTAGTACATCCCTGGGTGTGCAAAAAATCGAGGTTTGTCAAAACCCGTCCTGGAGGGTTTCCCGAAGTGTTGAACACCTAACACATCACTGCTACTTTCCCCCACCAAGCTGACGCGCCGTGATATAACTGAAATATTGTTCCAAGAGGCGCTAAACCCAACTCACTCACTCACTCACTCACTCACACAACACTTGATACAATCTGAACAATGAACTGTATGTTTGCCATAGTGCAATGTGTGTACGGAGAGGGACGTGCGATACTTTTCCCGATCCATTTGTACTCTTGAGACAATAAAATATGATTAAACCAAACTGGTAATGTTTACATTTTGTGCTGTGACTGTGACAAAAGGGACACGCTACTATTTTGGCCATAAGGTTTGAAAACCTGTGCTCTGGCGTCTATGACATAGAAACCAGAATATATGCTATTACCTGGTAGATCTTTGTCAGTACTGAAAGGACAACAATCATGACATGTTGCGGTCGGGGGTGGGGGTGGGGGTGGGGGTGGGGATTGGGCCTGGGTTTTTTTCGAATAAAATAAATTGTCCCAGAAAACACTGCTTGCAACTGTTACAAAAAACCTCACTTGCCTACCACAAAATAAATGTTGCAAGGTGTTTTTCTTCAATATAATAATATAAAGGCTCATAGTTTTAACGAAATAAATTACCTGGTTTGGCAGCTTTAACTGAAATAACATCTAATCTCCAGACAAAATACAATATGATTAATTTACAGTTGATTGTAGATATAAACAGCCCGGCAAAAGGCATGAAGATTGGATTTGACCAAAAAATGTCTTATATTATCAAAATGCTACAAGGGTGAAAACAATCGCCGAAACACTGCAAACTTAATGTCCAAAACACAATGATGATTTCCGTATATCGAATGCATCACCATCGAATAACCATTCCTTGTTGGTTCCATTTTTAGCCATCATCAAACATGGGTGTATACTTTCATTTGCCGGCACCAGTGAAGATCCGGGCAGTAACCCATTCTTGTCCCCCCCCCCCCCCCCCGCTCCCGTGAAGATCCGGGTTAGGCTAGGTCTTCAGCAACCCATGCTTGTCTCCCCCCGTGAAGATCCGGGGTAGAATAGGCCTTCAGCAACCCATGCGTGTCTCCCCCCGTGAAGATCCGGGGTAGAATAGGCCTTCAGCAACCCATGCGTGTCTCCGCCTAAAACCATGAAGTTTCGACAAGACGTTGGTGATTCCGACTGTAGTTCGAGTAACTCACAATGAATTACAATCAGGTCATCTCTATGCAGTATCCAATCATGGACATGGAATTCGATATCACACATAACTTTGATACCATTTGTCTAAAAAGGTTTCTCACCCACAAGAAAAGTTATCCACGTTCACGTACACTGTATTGGTCCAGGTCCAAGGAACGAAATGTAGACCGGGTGTTTCAGTGTTTGAATTTAATAAAATACATGTAGGTTTATTAAATATGGTAATTAAACGAATTTCTTTCTAATTCTTTTCATTCAAAATCTCCTCGGAAATTAAACTATGCTTGAGAAATAGATCTGACTCGATGGGAGATGTGACGTTAGCTAGCTGAGACTGTACGTGTGGACACACAGCTGCATCGATTACAGCATACATGTAAAGGCAGGATAAAGCCAACGGATAAAAACGATATCCGTTGGGGTCATATGCGGATAGAGATGCAAATATCAAAGGTCAAGTAGGGACTTCTTTCAGTGTTTATAAACAAACATGGCGTCGCACTCGTCATTCGGCGATCGAGTCAGAATGAACCATCGGGAATCTGGATAAACTACAGGGATAATTGCTATCATTATCAAAAGAACAGTCTAATATACTGAAAAACAGTGTCTAACTGTGACGTAGCTAAGGCATTTTATAAGATTTGGTAACTTTGGAGATATAAATTTCGAAACAATTTTGCGAGGGCACGAGGCCTAGCCAAGCGGGATCAGCCGCCATATCTGTGCTTGTAGACCTCTGCATCTTGAAACCTTCTGCACAAATTAAAATAGTTGGATTTGGCCGAAATATGTTTGAATTGTTACCTTGTTTCGTTTTGTCGCTGTGTGTACATCTGACTACACTTCTGAACGTTATGACAGGACAGACCGACTGTCAACAATGTCTGACCGTGGCCATGACGTCTCATAGACTAGGGTTAGAGTAGCTTCCCTTTGACAAAGGGCAGTTACTCTAGCGGACCGACCGATGGATTGTCGCGAAAGGCAATTAAAAGCAATTGTTGTTTTGCGTTTATGTTGCTTCGCCAGTGTATAAGAAACAGATTTCAGTTGGAACTACATTGGCTACTGTCACTGTCCGACTGACACATCACTTACCCTGTTACGTAATAAATATTAATGCGCGCATTCCTGGAAAACTCGCAATGTTTCGGTAATGTTTGTGAGAGAGGGAAAGTGATTTTGAAGCACAGAATTAAAGAATGACATTATATGATAAAGAGGTTATCACGCTTGTGTGTTTGGGGATGATAAATATCCTGTATTAGGAATAAACACTATGTATTTAGCTCGCCAAGGCTCGCTAAATACAATGTTTATCATCCCCAAACACACTCGCGTGATAACCTCTATGTATTGATTATATGTGTACTAATTATATATTTGGATGTTATCAGTTCTGCGCTCTAAGCCCCCGTTACACAGGACTGTGACCTTTGTGCCACCTTTGAGCTATCAAAAACTGGCCAGGACGCTCAATGGTCGCCTAAACCCAGAAAAACACGTTTCTATGTAACTGCTCCAGCAGTTGTTCAGCAGAAACTGCTCGAGTTGTTCAGCGTCTGCAACCACAATGAAACACTGCAGGTACAAACCCTCTATTTATAGGCAGGCTGAGGAGGCACTACAGGTAGCTCAAAGGAGGCAGAAAAGAGGCAGAAGCATTGCCATGGTGTCTCAAGGGTTGCCGTGGTCGCCGAATGGAGGCATGGCGGTCGCCAAAGTCATCGTTCAATGCACGCTGATGATCGCCCAAAGGAGGCACAAGGGAGGCAGAAGCGTCGCCCATGATTGACGGGAAAATATTTCAGCAGAACGAATCTGTTACCTGGCAACCATCTGGCGACTACTGTGCCTTCATTCTGCAACAGCGGCAATGCTTGTGCCTCCCTTCTGCCTCCTTTGAGTCACTTTGAGCAACCAACCTCCTCGGCGACCTTTGTGCGACTGTTTTGAACATGTTCAAAAAATGACGGCGACCATGGCGTTCATGGCGATGTGTGAACCTCCTGTGTACCACCTTGGAACGACCTAGGCAACCATTCTGCCTCCTTTGACCCTCCAACGACGACCTGGCAAATTCTATGGTCGCACACGGGAGGCACAAAGGTCGCCATCCTGTGTAAAGGCCCCATTAGATGCAGTGATGTAGGTATCTACTACAATTAACAATACATGTAGAAAGAAAAATGCAAAAATAAACTCTCTGCCGGAACGTGTCGTGCCAATCATTCGATCGGGTAAGTATGACTGTATCCGACAAAAAACCTGCCAGAGTTTGATAACAGTGCTATTACATCACAGTTGAAATTTCTAACCAGCAGATACATTAGAGAAAGTGACTGCATGTACGTAATCCCCATTAATCAAAGCTGTCAATAAACTGAAAATCCCATCTATCGGAGACCCACCAAGTAACACTGAGTTACAAAGTTTTATTCGTAACTATATTTACTACAATTCAAAATACTTTAGTGTTGCATTTTTCAGAGGAGTGGGCATACACACAAGACTTCTATTGTGTGAATGCAGGAAATACCTGGCATCTCAGATCTCAGCTTCATAATGCTTCATACCGATGGTATATCTGACTTTGTAATGTGTAATGGAAGCTTACATCACTTGCTATTCGTTAGTCCACAACAACACAAAACTGTCAAACATATTTGGGATCGCTTGTGCATAGGCAATTTATTTAGTACAATATTTTTTTTATTAAAATATATTTCAATTGGTTCCACCATTGTCCCTATACCCTTTTATGCATGTTTATGTTGCTCAATCTTATTGCTTATGTCAGTGACTGATTTCAACCACGTGTTTGGGTGTTCCTAAATCTCCTGTATCTTTCCTAATCTAACGTTATAACATTCAGATCATTACCATCATCTAAGAGAAGATACCAATATATATTATATTTAATAATAATAAGAGGACTGTGTACAACACACGTAAATCTGTTAACGAAGTTTTTACAATTAATATTTTGAAAAAACTAGTTAAACGCCTGTCGTGATAGGGAGGATTGTATGGTAGATGTAACAGACATATTGACAGCCGTTGTCGACGAGAGTCTCGTGCATCACTAGGTTATTTGAACGGCAGAGGCCTTGTAGAATGTTACCATGCTTTGGGAATTTCTGTGGCCAGTGAAGGACGTTATTCACACTCCTTCAATTTCACACTGACACCGCATCAAAGTTGTTTGTGTAACGATTACATTACTCTTACTGACAGAGTGGGGAAGTGGGGTGGCAGTTCACGTGAAACGGACGGCACTGTCTGAGTCTACTAGGCGGCTCCTTTGATGTCGCTTCCAAACAAATATGTCATGGAATGAACCACTAAACGATAATACACATCAGGATCGCGGAGAAAAAAATCAAGATTCGTTCCTTTTGTATATGAAGGCAGCAACTCATCTTTCATAAACTGTTTGTGGCTTTGTGCCTAATTAATATATCCACAATTAACGAAAATATGTAATACACGTCTCTACAAAATACATACATGAATAAAGGCTTGGTATTTGTCAACAGCAACACCTGCAAAACTGTCTGTTCATGCCTGGTGTGGCACATTGAACGAGGGAAGGTATTGTCGACTCACCTGAAGGTATTACTCATTCCGCATATAAAGAGAAACAGTTTCAATGGATTGCGATTACTAACATCACTAACAAATTAAAAAATCTAATAATTATTGTCACTTTTCGGATAATATTTTCTTAGTAAAGTACAGGGCAACCCCACAAAGTACTAGAACATGTACTTTACTAAGACAGTGGTATCTCAAATATGACATTTGTTACATTTGACCGCTTTCGAAATGGCATTGTGTATTATATACAATATTGACTCTTACAGATCTAATTCAGCATGTTTCTATACGTTCTAATAGCAACAGGGAAAATACGGTTCACTCCCAATCATCAGACAGATCAGTCACGTGTGACCAGTGTAACTGCCTGGTCTGGTTCTAGGCCGGGAGAGCGACACCTAGCCATAATCATCTCTTAAAGGGGCACTGATCTCACGCAATTCCCCGGACTGGTTGT